GTGTAAATTTCTGTTCAGTATGATGCACATGAATGGAGCGTCATATATCATATAAATTTACATTATATATCATGTAAAGTTCTGAGACATTTCATGCAATGCAGCAAATATTGTATACAAAAGCCGATTGTTGTAAACAACATTGCTTACAAGTGGCTCGGTTCCGTGAAATGAAATACAAGTTTACGTGAATGAATGTTTACATCACAATTAAAATTCAGAATTTTTATCTGTGTAATGTAACTGTCCTAAGCAGGGTTGAAAATTCTCTGGAGAAAATCACCCGGATGCGAGAGATATCATTCTCTTGGGTGAATCTCTGCTTGTCTCCTCGGAGATTTATCCTGGCACCACTGGAGAGATTGTTAGACACAGCACGAGAGAGTGAGAGAGTTGACTGTTTTTTTTTTAGTATGTTAATACACTCACTTCAGTGAGAAAGATGGATGTTTCTTCAAAGATTCCAGGAGAGCTTACGTGAGTGAGTGAAAACATCAATAAATAAAAAACTGAAAAACGTATATAAGGGGACAAAGTGCGAAGTTATTCACGAAGAAAAAAGTGCGGTTTGACGACGGTACCGAAAAGGCGGTTGTGAATTTTGTGCTTTGCAAGGCTAATGGAAAAACATTCAAAGTGGACACGGTATTCAACTTGAAGCGGAATCTCGTCAATATTCATCGGGTGTTATGGTGTTGCTAGATCACTGCTCCTCTCTCCATTTTCGCTGCAGCTGCTGACGGCATTCCAAGTGCCTTCCATTGACGACATTCTCCACGTTACGGACGGGCATCTCCCTTCGCACTGCCTCGCACCGTTGACAGTCGAAGACCACATGCTCCGGCGTTTCATACACCAATGCAGGTACTTCCTGAAGCAGCCAGACAGGAACTGCATTAGGTGGAAGTTGACGTCTCCATGTTTTCTGTTCACCCAGGTCGAAAAAATCTGTATTAGTCAACGTGTCCATCTACCGTTCTCCGCCGTGTTCCACTCTTGTTGGCACTTAGCCAACGATTCCGGTCTCACAACTTTTCTAATTCTTCCGGCATCTCTCCACCTGTAGCACTCGCTGTCCTCCACCAGGGCCGACAGGGATCATTCCGGCGATCACGCATACTGCTTCCGACGAGATGGTTCTGTACGCACTCCCGACTAGCATGGCCATGAACCGGAACGTACTGCTCAGTTTCCTTTGGTTCTGCTTCGTTTCCAGCGCTGGAACCCAGGCTGAACCTCCATACCTCAGTATCGACGACAACACACTGGGCAGAAAACGCCTCTTGCTACTGCTAGGACCAGCGTTGTTCGGCATGATTATAGCTATCGCGTTGATGGCCTTCGAAGCCTTATTACAGGCATATTCGACGTGGCTGTTGAAGTTTAGTCGTGCCCCCTACGGTTATATCTGCCCGCTGTACCGTTTTGGGGCTATTTATAAACTACGTAGACATTTGAGGGGTGGGGGGGGTTGACAATTATGCACGGCCCATACAAATTTTAAAATTTTTGTATGGACAATTGGCTACGCAGGGGGGGAGGGTCAATAATCCCCCAAAAATTTCTACGTAGTTTATGAACAACCCCTTTACAGTTACTGGCCAATAGCACTTCCGTTTTGTGGTGGGCTATCTGCAGCTTCGCTCTTTGCATCCAGTTACCAATCATGTCGATCGCCAACACTTCCACCTCTTCCAGCGTCTCGCCTGTTACCGTCAAGACGACGTAGTCCACAAATCCAACGATCTCAACTCCTTTGGGCAGCTTCAGCGTTAGCATGCTGTTGTACATCCCGTTCCAGAGCGTTTGACCAAGGATGGAGCCTTGTGAAACTCCTGCTATGATCCTAATCGATATCTGTCTCATGTCTGTCTGTCGACTAAACAGAAGCAAATTTCAATAATGATGCGCTGATGCACTTCCCGTATTCGCATTTCCAAAATGTATGCATTATAATTTTACAAAAATTTAAAAAAAAAAATGACTACATACTGTACGTTAATAGAAAAAGTAACCTTCAAAAAATCTTTGTATGCAACAAACTAACAACTAAAGTCTTCACCGGGGTGATTCTCCGCAGTGAAGCAAACAAACTCTCTACGGTGCTCCCAAGTGATCACTCATATTCTCCGGTGTGATGGACTGGTGGAGGTGCGAACGTCACAAACTGTGTTTGTTTGCGAAGTGGGAGAAGCGGTATATAGTGAAAACAAAATAAAGATCTCTCGGGTTAGAGTCGGTGTATAATGAGTCACGCCAAGAGTGAAGCCAAGTCTACCTATTGAACTGTCAAACCGGCTACCTATCGTGCAAACTAAACAAACATTACGATGCTATGAGAGGTCAACGAAAGGTATTGCAATAAATTATAAAATATAATCGAAGAAATGATCATAATCACGCAGTGAGCATTAAATTGTCATGGGATACGTTTGGTAATGATCAGTAATGAGAATTTCTACTATTTTTTTAAAAGATAATTTGACAAAATCACTAATATAATGATTTACTACAGCCGCTATTTTTTTTTTCTCGCTAGGAGTCATTTGAAGTTGATATAGAAGTCTTCTGTTGCCAAGTGAAAAGAAAGGGAATCTTTCGAAAACCGTGATGCGAGTTCAACTGTTTTTCTCTTGGCGTGACTCATTATACACCGACTCTATCTCGGGTGAGTTTGCTTTTGTCGTAGTGCGAGATGTCTTTTCAACTCATCACCCTGCTTACACTGGGTAGAATGGCATCCCTGGTCCTAAGATTCTCTAATCTTCTCCGAAGTTCACGTCAATTTCCAACGATCTTGAAATTCTCCTGAAGCTGTTAGTACTACCCTGAACTTAATAGAGTTCTAAGAATCCCTGAGCTCCATTGATAACCTCTGATCTTCGGAGGAGCTTTCAACAAACTTATGAAGTGTCCACATCTTCGAAGTTTTCTGGGCTGCTTGAAAATTCAGGAGCATCTCAAATTTTCCCGATATTTTCCAGATATTAATGGAACTGTAATCATCTTCCCTGAAGTTACCCCAACTCGATAAACTGTCCTGAAGCTTACGCAACTTCTTTTAAAATGACCCTGCTTTTTCCTAATGGCCATGAAACTTTTTTGAACATCTTGGAGTTTCCCTGATGATCTTGGATGTTCCCTAAAATTTTCCAAACTTCTATTAAGATCCCGATGTTCTCGCTGGAATTCTGGAGCTGCCCATAAATTACCGAATGTAATTCTTCAACATCTCAGATCTTCCCAAAAAGTTGAGACTTTCCTGATGTTTTACGTGTTTTCCTGATGTTTTACGTGTTTTCCTGATGTTATTCAAACTGCCCGAAAGATCTCTGAAGTTCTTTAAAGCTTTAAAGCAGAAGTTAATTGAATTGCCTAGATCATCCTCGAAGTTCCCTTAATTTTCCTGAAGTTTTGAAACTTTGTTAAAACTCGCGTAACTTGCCTGAAGCTTCCTAAGATTTGTAATAATCCCGGAATTAACCTGATATTCATATAACTTCCCTAAAAATCCCAAAATGACCCTGAGGTTTTCGGAACATTCATTAAATTCTCGGAATATTCCATAATTCCTCGGAACTCCTTGAAAGTTTTTGCAATCTGCTCTGACTGTTCTCTAATCATCCTCGAAGTACTCGGAGCTTTCCTGAATATAATTAAACTACCTATAATTCTATGATCTCCATTGAAATTCTTTAGACATTCTTTCAATGATTTCATAGCTTCTTATAAACTCTCGCAATTTTCTTGAAATTAATGGAACTGATGTTCTCTGATCTTTGTTGAAGTCCCGGCATTTTTTTTTTGTTTTGTTTTTTGTTTTCTGCCATTAAAAACAAGATATTTCCCATACTCTCACATTTTCCACATGATCATATTTTTTTTTCAAAATGAAGCTCTCGGAAATTTATTGAAGTAAAAAGTTTCTTTTGAGTTCACTTCAAGTTTCCTTGAAGTTTTTGACAGTTCCTTTACGCAAATGTTAATTAAATTGAACTGCCCTAAAGTTCTCCAATCTGACCTGATTTTCTCGGAGCATCCCTGAAGTTCTCTCAAATCTCCTGAAGTTATTAGTTCTTCTCCTTGTAGGTTATAAACGCTACTGTAGCGTTCGTGTTGCCGGCTCTCAACTGAGTTTATATATTGTGTGACAATTACAAACGCTCTATGTCCAGGGAAGTCGAAAGATTTCCTAAAATCACTAAATGTTCCTATCATGCTCGAAAAATGCAACAAAATTAAAACAGGTTAGGTTATCTTCAAATATCGTTCTAACTTTGGGTATGGCCTAACATTTCACGACACAGTCCTTCCAATGTTAGCATTTATTACCAAAATACATAGAACGAACATTATCCTACTACGCCACTGGTGAAACCATACTCACCACTCGCTAGAACCCTCCGGCCATCCATATGGGTACACTCCCGAACCGAGAGATCCGTAACACCAGCCCCACCTTGTTCCAGCGTACACGTGCTTGCTTTGCCGAGGCACCGCTGAACCGCCGCTGCCGTAATCAATTCAACGCTACACTATCATATTCATTCGATTCAGATCGATCGGGGTACGGATACACGATACGATTGGAGACCTCCCTCGAAATTCTTTTGCCGCCACCACCACAGGCCCCGGGGGATCAATATTTGCCGAACATACCTATCTTCGATGAACCCCGCATATGACCGGTTTATCGGATCGATTTCCAGGTGTGTTTCAACTTGTGGTCTTAATTTTCATTGCTTGGTTTATTGAATTTTAATGCAAAACTACCATGCAGTGTAATATTATTGTGGACATGCACATCTTCATGTGTAAGCGAGCACATGGGCTTTGCATACGAGGGTGGGTGGGTCCTTGGAATTATATGCCCACTGAAGCTGCCCTCACCTGCTGTAGGGGATCTTTAGTCACCGTATAGTTTGGGATTTTGGATTTTCTTTTCCTGTGCATTGAACTAAAAAAAAGTAACCGGGTAAAATGCATTCTTCTCGTTTCAGCGGAGAATTCCATCTGGGCTACAATCGCAGCGAATTGCAGGGCATTTCATGGTACCAGTTGCTGCACTGGGAGTCGACGCGGGAGGCACAAAGCAAACACCGACTGAGTAAGTTGATAACGATGACAGACGAAGATCGGAATGTCCTCTGTGTTTTATCTGCGGGATGGATGGATAACCACAGAGCGATTCCGACTCCCTTGGGGCAATCCATATTGACCGGTTACTGAGCAAGAAAACAAAAAAACACGCGGAACTGATGGACATCTCATGTAATTAAGAAATTAATGATGGCAAATCGGTTATCGGTAAACATGATCTTGACAACCATGTCACTTTTTCCCATGTGGTTTCGTACTGCGATGATCAACTTCGCCTAGCTAAATCATTTTGTTTCGTGGCCCTAGTCTCCTTGTCTAGGGAATTGCCTTGCCTTGCGTCCAGCCATCAATCAATGGCCTTAATCGATGCCCCATTCGTTAAGTCAGAAGATTTTTGGAGCCCACCAACACGCCTATTTTTTTGTTTTTGTGTTACGTATCCCCTCGGGATAATTGATTACCGAACTGGACGTATTAGTCCAATTGAATCTTATCCACCCACGACGCAACGATTAATCTTGTCTCAAGCTCAATTTTCACCTGTTTCTTCTGCCTCCCCTCCACATTTCAGTTACCCAATCCGAACAGGACCGTTCGTGCATTCTGCTGGTTCGGATGCAGCGACGGCAGAACGACTTCATCTGGGTCCACGTGGTGCTGCAGGTCCGCGACGGTCAGGACTCGAACCAACAGTCGGTGATCGTGTGCACGAACCAAGTGTTGAGGTAAGTCCACCCAGTAAACCTTGATGAATTTCACCTTCTGCGACACACCTCTATCGGCACCAGACAATCTCCCGAAAAACGAGATCGCTATCTCTTGGGGCTACCACCGGCCGTGATCGATTGACGATCACAGTGCACTCTTACTCGAACTTGTTACGAACCACTTGGTCGGTTTACTAGCACAGAGCTTGACAGTTACTGACTTGTGCAATACAAATCGGTTCGCAGATCTTGATCGCACGCGTGGTCTCTGATTCACGACCGTATCGACAGGTTTCGGATCGGTAGATTTTTGCTCTGATTGCGATTGGAAAGGGGAACTTGCGAAGGAAAATTATGGCTGCTCCGTGACAAGCAAATCAACTTTTTGGCGTTTTGGGGAACTCTGTTTCTAGTAAAACTCTGAGTAAACTAGCCTTTTCCGGATTTTCTTAGATATGATAAGCTATTAAATTACTATTAAATCGACACACGAATGTTAAGCCTTAACTGTAATAGCGATTAATGTCACAGTTTAATCTATCTCAGAGACATCACTTCTGATTGCATAAGCTCTAGTTGATGTTTTCCTTTTATTGTTTCGCACAAAACGGCGAGAGCTTTTTCCCAATCTGAAGTGATGTCTCAGAGATTGCCATTTAAGAAAATTTTTATTTACTCAGTAGGTCACTATCGACTAGATGGTGAAATTTAAACTCCATGGTGAGTTATTTTTTTTTGTAATTCGTTTATTTGTACAGGCTCAGTCGAATAAACTTTACAGAGCCGAGATATTCTTGTTCTTCAACAATAAGATTCTTAAAACTAGAGTTAAGGGGGTTTAACCGATTACTTGCAGTCGTCTCGAGGTTAGGGAGTTTTACAATTTAAGGATGGGGAAAGGTTGAGAGGATTACGAATTTTATTTGTTTTAATGTGGTAACTATTTCTAAAACACTTACTTAAATCTAAAGAACTGATCATTTCAACATGAGATTAACATGAATACTACAGAAAGAATGTATACACACACACACTCTTTCTCGCAAACACATTCATCTTGACAAATATACCAAATTAAGAAAACAAACTATCAACAACTTAAGGTTAAAGAATAAAAAAAAATTTATATATGAGTTTAATATATTCCAAATCGCGCCCAGCCAAGATATCTCGAACCGGAACATTGGGCTGTCTACCTCGAGCCCGAAGGAAATCATACAAATGTGTTCTGACTCCACAATACTCCGCACAAGACCAAAGGATGTGATCAGTGTCCTGGTAACCTTGTCCACATTCACAGAGATTGCTGTCTCCCAACCCCACACGGAACAAGTGAGCGTTTAGACAATAGTGATTGGACATGAGACGAGACATCACGCGTATGAAGTCTCGATCTAAGTCCAACCCTTTGAACCATGCAAACTTCGACACCTTAGGGATAATTGAATGTAGCCATCGTCCCAAGCTCCCTTCACTCCATTGATGTGCTGACGATAAATAGAAAAAAATCACAATAGGTGATTTGTCGATCATAAATGTCGCCTTCCATAGCGCCCACCTTCGCAAATGAATCCGCCTTCTCATTGCCCCCATGGTGAGTTAATCTCCTGTTATATATTGTGTCGACAGCACTAAATTAAATTTCAGAAGTATAACTTCCGACGGCAGCCTATATTTTGCACCAATTAGAACATGCATGTATGAGTGTATGTAGGTTTAGGAACAAGAAGTCGAAAGACAGAAGGTCGAAAGGACAGAAGGTCGAAAGTCGTTTATATCGAGGTTAGTCAGAAATTAACAATTAAAATAGATGTCAAGTGCTTTTTGTTTCCATTTCGTCAAACGACACTACCGTTACCGCCTTGTTTAACAATTCCGATTTTTCCAATTCCTCGAATACCCCCGACAACAGCCCAAACAACCCAATCAGAAAGGATATACCGACTCTGCTCCTGGCGCGTATCTCCGCTTTATCACCCATAACCCCGAAAGGCGTCAAACGCCACAGCGACCAGCTTAGCCCCCTCCAAAAGACATCCCCGATTAAACCAAGCTCCCAAAATAGCAAAGCAGTCATACACTCACTCCGAGTAACACTTACCAACACACACACACACACACCTTAGAACACCCAGCTATACAATAATGGCCTCTCCAACAAAAACCGCTTGTATAGACGTTATTCCACCTGCAAACCACCGCCCAACATGGCTGAGTCCGGTTCTATGTAGTCCGAGCCCCTTGAAACCGGAAGCTTTACCCCAACCGGAATCCTTGGTTTCCCTCCGTCGCCTAGATCGTCCAGCTGAAGACTGTGCCTCGGGTACGCGGAGCACCGACAGCGCGGAAGTCATTGCTCAACTGGAGCTGGCGGACAACTCCCGCGACCCGATGACGAAGAAAGATACTAAGAAAGGTACGAAGAACCCTGCGATAGCCCCTGGTAGCCGGAGCCCCATTAGACCGGAATCCCTTCCCACACCGGAACTTTTGATGTACTCCGCCGCTGGGAAAGGTCAGGAAGAGGGACGGAAAAAGGTATACCTACCCATTCCCCTACTGGATCACGCAGGACTCAAGCCAGCTGAAAATACCGGGACGGACAAGGGTAACCATTCCCATTCCCCGAAGGACAACGAGGGATTGAAGACCTCCTCAAGCCTAGCACCGCACCGTAAACCAAATGATTACTTCTCACCAGTTGGGACACCCCTGCCTTGTGCGGGAGGTACGCCACCTCCTTCTCCTGGTGGGGCTCTGTCTCATTCGGGGCCCAGCACTCCAAAAGATCACCTCCAGCAACCAAGGGAAGAAATTGGCTCCTCCTACACTTCTGTGGAATCTACAAGACCCCACCCTACTATCTCCGCTGTTGGGTCACCCCTGCCCGGGGTGGGTGGTACGCCACCACCTGCCCCCGGTGGGGCTCTGTCTTATTCGAGCATCGCTATCAACGTAAGTCAATCCTCACTATCTAATGAATATGAATCCATCCGGGCCACTTTATCGGATCCAGCAACCACTAACTCCGCTCCGACTTTGCCTAAGCCAGTTCCGTTCCTCCTCCAATTAATAGGGTAACCACTGAACAAATGGATCGAACCCTCCGGGGTAAATACCAGTGGACCATTAAACGGAGCAATAACAGTCGGCAATCAACCGCTATCGGCGTTCTAAGAAGCATCCCTTCCCGCTTCATCGACCTGGATACCGACCTACCCGTACCCGAGTAGCACACTTCCGTTAAGAAAAGTTGCTGCAACTTGTTTATGACTGAAATAAGTCGTAAAGAAGTTTCTACATCCGATATGTTACAAGCGTGCTACTAGGGTAGTAGGGGTACAACTGGAAGGAGACTGTAGGATCACGGTAGTTTCGGCATATCTACCGTGCGGCAAAATCCCAATCATCAATGAACAAATCTCTCTTATGTAGCCTACCTGAACCTAGGCTCAGGCGATACACGCACGGATCCAAGAGGCACAGCGCAGGCAGACACCTTCGACCAAAAGGACATGGTCGTCCTTAACGACGTTCTTCTACCTTTTTCGACGGCAGGCAGTCCTCGGCCATTGACGTGGCTGCTATCAGCCGCTCCCTTGCAAGCAAGGCTACCTGGACCGTAATCCCGGACCTTCACGGCAGTGACCACCATCCAATACTTATCCAGCTCAGCGCGGGCTCGACACCTGTAACGACGCGGCGTCCAAGATGACGATACGACCAGGCAGACTGGGTGGCCTATGAGATTTACGTCAATACTCTATTAGAGCAAAAGAATCCTACCGATTTTCCAGAATTCGCGAGCATAATCCTAGATGCGGCACGACTAGCCATTCCCCGGACTGGCCCAACTCCCGGGCGAAAAGCTCTTCGCTGGTGGTATGAAGAACCAAAAGCTGCAGTAAAAGCTAGACGAAAAGCACTTCGGCGTGTCAAGCGCCTCCCAACCAACCACCCGCAAAAGGAATTAGCCATACAAACATATAGAGAACGGCACAAGACCATCAGGGATGCCAAACGAAATAGTTGACCCAACTTCCTGGAGAGCATAAATGCTTCCCAGTCGTCCACGGACCTGTGGGGAAAAGTTAATTCCCTTAGCGGGAAAAGGCGCACCACACCGCTCTCAATCGAGACTGGCGGAACAAACATCACCGACCCTGATGCCGTAGCTGAGGAGCTCGGCACCTAATTTGCCAAGCTTTCCACTATCAACCAATATGAGCCCACCATTCTCCGCAAAACAAGACCATCTACTGCCGATATCGCCAATTTCTAAATTCCACAAAATAGCATCAACTCTCCAATTAACCAAGACTTTTCCTTCGAGGAGCTGCTGTTTGCATTGCGATACAGCACCGGCAACTCGGCCGGCCCAGACGAAATAGGTTATCCCCTTTTAAAAAATCTTGCTATCGGCGGGAGGGACAAATTATTGGACATTTACAACGAGGTGTGGCGTACTGGTGACTTTCCGGCCGCTTGGCGAGAAAGTTTGGTGATCCCGATCCCAAAGGCCAATTCCACCACACGAAGTACCGATAAATTCCGTCCGATTGCGTTAACCAGCTGCGCAAGCAAGGTGCTGGAACGCATGGTCAATCGTAGACTTCGCGTTGCATTGGAGGAAAATGGATATCTTGACCACCGGCAGCACGCCTTCCGGGCAGGAAAGGGAACCTCCACGTATTTCGCTTCACTGGGAGAACTGTTAAAGGACACGCAGGAAAAGGGCCACCACACGGCGATCGTCTCTTTGGATATCTCCAAGGCCTTCAATAGAACATGGACGCCGTTAGAACTTCAAGAGCCTGGGAATTCAAGGGAAACATCCTTTCCTTTATCCGAGGCTTTCAGGTAATACGATCGTTTAAAGTCACCGTGGAGAACACCAAGTCTTCTTCTTTCCCGGAGGAAACAGGGGTGCCGCCAGGCTCGGTGACGATTTTCCTAATAGCGATGAACCGGATCTTTACTCGTTTGCCACTCAACATCCACATTCTCGTTTACGCGGA